GGACAGACACGAAAAAATTGGCTCGTCGTCAACGTGTTAAAAGTATTGTGATGCAATGTGTGGAGAAGGCTGAGGATGATAGGCGGACATCCACCTTCGTGAATACGTAAACTTTATTTTCCTTGTCCAGGAATGAGTGGCAATACCTTCTCACAACAATCCTATTCACAAAGTACTAGTGCCTTTTCAACATTCATGAGCCTAAACATTCGGCACTTTTTTCGTTAGTGACAGAAAAAATTTATTTGAAAAACATTTTTTATATCAAAATTATAGACAGCCTTCTCTACATTCGGGACTGGCTCACCTGTGAAAACATATTTTTCCCAAGGTTATGCAAGACTAAAAGCCTTCTCTACTTTACTAGGTATGAAGCACAACGCAACCTTCCTATCCCATTATTTAAGGAACAAAATCAAAAGGTCACACAAAGATCCAGAAACTAGAGCACAAAAACACTAACCTTTCAATTTTGTTGTTGCTTTCGAAGACTTTGATCCGCAAAAATCGACTGTTAGATTTCTACCACCTATTTTTGACTTAGACAATGTTTCATAAGCCTAAATTAGACGAGGACTAAGTTTTGGTAAGCCAATCAAAAATAATAGAAAAACACCTTTGAGCAGGCAGCTTCATTCCTGAATACAATCCAAGCAAATGATGACCCACGCCTGTGACGTACAGACTCAACATCGGCATGTAACTCCTCAAGGTCCTTTGTCTGAAAAACAAGCATTTTCCTTTGTCTCGCTATAAAGGCTTGACAATTTGAATTGAACCTAAATATAAATAAATATATATGTATAAAGGAAGTTGAATCCAAATTTATCATTCGTACACAAGGTCTGCGAATTCCTTCCAAAAATGATTGCAATACAGCTAAAACATGCGAGCTAGATAACACCCTGGCATCGTGTAAGAGGGTATAGTTTTGTTCTTATTTACCGATTATCATACCGCCATATTTTTTTTCTAGAAGATCTGAAGGTTGTTTGCTAATTCAGCGCTTTCGACAGAGCGACCGAGGCAAGACAGGGTGTTAGCTCTTGACAGAGGTGCCTAAAGCTACGTCAACACCAAGCTATGGTTCGAGAAATTGAAGAATGGGTATATCGGAGAGAGATATTGGTAGTCAATCGAAGATGACAAAACGACGAATTCAGCCCATTGATAGAAGTCAACCGAATGTTGCAGCAACGCTCGTGGTTCTCCTAAAGGGTTATCAAAAGCTCTGACAGAAAAGAACCGCGTTATTATTAGGTTGATGCATAACTATTGCGGATTTTTCCAGCAAATTCTACTTGAAGAAACGATAGAAACATCAAGCAAAGGCATGTTCAAATAATTGCTCCGGAACATATTCATCATCCACGTCAAGATTTGCTTCCCATTTGCTAGGCGGGTCAGGTTTCACGCTGCATTTTGTTTGAATAAGCAGTCACGAGTGAGAAGCAATAAGGAAATCTCTAGAAAAATGGAAGGAAGGCATATTCATTTGACTTACGCGATCTATCAAAATTTCGATGCCCCGCCCGATGTTGTGAAGCCAGTGCGTAAGATAAGAAAGGGTCAGTTCAAAAGTTATTGCCAGGAATGATGAAAGTGCAAAATTATCAAGAGCACTGGCTAAATTAGCACAGAATGTTGCGAAAAGTCAAATGGTGAATTCGAAATTCGAAAAGCGTAAAGTGGAGGGAATGCACGGCAGGCATGCCTCCTAGAAACCAAGAGCGACGCGACAGAGTGCTTAGCTGAACGTTTGACATATATACTGGTACATTCACAATAACATAATATAACACAACTAATCTAATTATACGTCGCCCTTTTGCACATTTTTTCGCAGAATTTTTTACAATATAATATAAGTGTACTAATGCCATTTCAGGCTAAAATCCTGAATGCCGTCCGTGTCATAACACTTATCCTATGAAAAAACGAAGCCAAACAGTTGTTTAGGGGGAAGATTGTGTTAGGTATCCACAGATTACTGAGATCACTGCATACTGATATGACTTACTAGGTGTAAACACAGTATATAAACCCAGTAATTTATCAGTGACTACTTTTCTCTCTCATCATTCGTCTCAATCGGCTCGACCAATAAACCTTCCTGACACACCTGGCTATCAACCGTCTACCAGCGGCCCACAAACGTAACAGTGGCGATCAGGATTATGGCAACAATGACGGACCAGCAGTTTCAACANCATATTCATTTGACTTACGCGATCTATCAAAATTTCGAAGTATGCCCCGCCCGATGTTGTGAAGCCAGTGCGTAAGATAAGAAAGGGTC